CGGGAAGCAGGCTCACTCTTAATAGACCCCACCTTTGTCAATGGGCCACTAGGGGCCCTGAGCTAGTCTACTCTACATAACAAAGATAGGATTGGCCTTCTACAGAAACTCACCCCAGGGCACCTGGGAAGAAGCAATGCTCAACCAAACTTGGGCTGAAAACACAGCCTAGAGAGTTGCTCCCACATGGCCCCATGGGAGTCTGACAACCAATCGGAATACATTTCTTACGCAGGAACAGGAAACAGAGAGGTGGGGCCAAACAGAGAGTATGAAGCCAAGAACCTTCAGCCCTTCTCCCTCTTCTCTTCTTCACCCAACATCTGGAAGCATCTGATGATCCCCCTTTTCTGTTCAGGAGCTCAAGCCATGTGATCCTCCTGTCCACCATCAAACCATCTTTCCAAGCAGCCTCCGTGTCTCCAGTGTCTTTTCCCCCACTTGGAGCTGAACCCAGAGGGACGTTTCTTCCAACACAACCAAATGGGCAAATGGGGGGGCTTAAGACATCAGGCCCACGAATTCCACGGCTAATCACAAACGCAACAAGTGCTTTAAAAGTGCCTCTGGATGCCCCACTGACATCTTCATGTTGACATCAGTTGCAACTCTCATGTTTGATCAGGCTACGACATGAAGCAAAGGGAGCTTACTTGAGTGGGGGCAGAGGGAGGGGGGGCTGGGAGAAAAAACCATAACCGAGATGAATGCGCGCGGAGGGCGTCTGGCTTTCCTCTGCAGCTGCAACTTAATTCCTTGTTTTCATGTAGCCCCCCCCCCGATGAAATAACAGGATTGGCCGTTGAGTTGCAACGGGGGGGGGGGACAAAATCCCATTTGCTCTGCAAAGCAGTTTATCATCCTGAAGAAAAAAGGGGAGGAGGAGGAGGGTTTGAAGGGGAGGGAGGGAGAGGAGAGGGAGCCATGGCATTATTGCTCATTTCAGTGGCTTTGTTTCCTGATGGGCACAGCCAGGGATAATTTCCGAAGTATTAACCTCGGAGCAGAGCGCAGGGGTGTTTGCCATCTCTGGCCCCAAACAATGAGAGCATTGTTTTCGGGGGGGGGGGCAATGCCCGGAGTCCAGATGCATGTCCAGGGTCGGCCCCAGCTGGCCCGTTCGGCCCCATGGCAGCTGCAGAGTGAGCGCCGGCAATTAGCTGGCATCTGCTGCACCACGTTTACCAACCCCGCGCCTGACGGCTCAGCGGCCATAAAGGCACGCTCAGCAGGAAGGGAGGAAAGGGACGAGTTGAGGGGGATGCGCCAGACCAGGCATCGCGCACACCTGAGAGGCAGAAAAATTGGCTCGGCCTCTGATGAGGAAGCCCAAACGTCCTGAGAGCAAAATCCTGTTCTGGAAGAGTTGCCACGTGGTGACAATCCTTCCAAGCCTTCAGTGGTTCCTTCCAGAAGTTCCTTCCATTTCAGTTCATTGATTCAGGAGTTCATAGCAATAGCAATAGCAGTTAGACTTATATACCGCTTCCTAGGGCTTTCAGCCCTCTCTAAGCGGTTTACAGAGTCAGCATATCGCCCCCAC